ATAGATCTTTCAGCCCAATTCTACTTTTTCTGCATAATCCATCATACAAAATGTAATCAAATGGAAAAGTCTCTTTTTTTAACTTGTTTTTATCAGTTTTAACCTTTTAACTTTATGCATCAAGCAAAAATTTAATTATATGCAACATTCTCTGACTGGAAGAAATTTGTTTAACATTTAAACTTATTTTCTGCACATTCCAGCACATATTTTTTTGTGTGTGTGTGTGTTTACACTCATTCTTTCAAATAGATGCAAGTAAAACACAGCAGAAAATAAATAACATCAAAGACTAGCGGTCCTGTTGCTCTATTTTCACCTGTACAGCAGGAGTAGCGTAGGCGCAGGTTTACCCTGGTGCAGGTGTGCCGCAGCGGTCCGAGTTTTCTCTGTGAGTTTCCCATTATGTCGTAGCGCACTCGGTGCTTGCTCGGAAGTTTAGGGTTTTTTTCAAAAATCAAGTTTTCTTCCCATGCACAACTAACACTAATGTTTTTGTCACTTTTTATGGAATTAAACTCAAAGTAAGGTCAGTACTTCCACGCTTTAAACGCTGCACGCTCATACTCTCTCCCGCTCTAGATATATTATCCACTGTTGATCTGCACACAGCTGTTGTCACTAACGTCGCACTCGCTTACGTCACTGTCATGAGACATTCTTGCAAAAAAATCACGGTTTTAGTAACGTAGTAACGCAGCGTTCCTACGGGAAAGTAACAGTAATCTAATTACCGTTTTTGCAATAGTAATCCCTTACTTTACTCTACCTGAAAAAAGTAATCAGATTACAGTAACCTGTTACTGCCCATCTCTGCTTGTGCCTGAGCATTTTCACTTAACACTGACCCATGGATCACTTAAACATAAAAAAGGCATCTACTAACTCGAAGGATGAATCAGTGTTGTGTCTACACATCAACAGCCGGCTTAAAAAGGACCAATTGCACATGACAATTGTACCTTTAGGCAATTTGTTGCCTTTGGCTTTTTTCATAATTAAAGAAATTGGAATAAATCTTTGCAACAGGTAGCGGGTAACAAAGTGTGACAGGCATAATTTGTATACCTGTAAATCTGGCATAGGTTGCCATGGTGTGCAGTGTATTTGTAAAAAAAAAAAAAAACAGAGGAAAATTGGACAAGTGGAGGCTAAAAAAAGCCCCAAACAAACAAAAAACAAAACAATCAAACAGAAATCGTATTTGCATCAGATGAACAGTATATGAAAGTTATGTCGTTAAGGAAAAAAAAAATCAAGGAAAGTTTTGACACAGGACTTAAAAGATACATCTGGTCCTTCAGTTGGTTCACCAAAGCCTCATCAGAAATGAAAACATGTTAAAGATGGTCATGTATTAGTTCATGTACTAATAAACTGTGACTGGAAAGTGCAGCGCATTGTGCTGTGCATTATGAATAAATGACTGCTGTTTACCACAACCACTTTAGTGAGACTTAAAATCTAAAATAACAAAACCATAAATTATCCATTTATTCTGCTTATCTGAATTTGGGCCGCGGGAGTAGCAGCCTAGGCAAGGAAGCCCAGACGTCCCTTTTGCCACCTCCTCAGGCTACTTGGGGGAAACACAGAGGAATTAGATATAATCTCTCTAGCAGGTCTACCCCGTGTCCTCCTCCCGGTAGGACATGCCTGTTTAGAACACCTTACCCAAGAGGCACCCACCTGAGCTGGCTCCCTTCGATGTTGAAAAGCAGCAGCTCAACTCTGAGCCCCTCTTGAATGAGTGAACTTCTCTCCTCATTGCTAAAGGAAAGCCCATCCACCCCTCAGAGAAAGCTATTTTCCACCGCTTTTATCTGCTGTCTTGTTCTTTCGTCTTTAAAGAAAAATGATAGTGTCAACAACAAAGATCAGGCTGAGATTAGCAGATTTATGGGGTTCCTCAGCAATGATGCTTCATCTGGTGCCAGATGGCTACATAACATTTAGGGCATAATAATTTACGTACATTGGGCATCAATTTAAATTTAAAACATTTAAATTAAATGACTGCTATGTTAGGTACCGACTAGTGACAATAGCAATGATTAAGTCTAGTGGACTAGTCATGGACATCCCTACTGCTAACAATTTAATACATTAACATTAGGTTAATGTTTACATTAGACTATTTGATGTATTTAGCTTCACAATTTACTAAATGCCTCTGATGAGTGTGAAGATCATTCTCAGGTGTTTTTAAAGCTGTACAGAAGTACTCAGTTTGAATAACTGTTTGTGCTTTTTTGTTTTGTTTTTTTTATTTGTATACCAACCCATTAGATAAGAGTTTCATAGCTACAAAGCTAAAATACCGGAATGACTGTGTGTGTAATTTTCAGGCATCAAGTTTCTTCATCACACTTGTGTAAGTTGCCTCTTAGACCAGGATTGGCTTGTAGTGCTTGTAACTGCTTGTAATGTCACAAATCCTGCTCATGGGTACTCCCTTCGAACTCTGATATTTGGTGAGCATAAATAAACTTTCAAAGATAAATTGCAAAGCAGACTTTCAATGTCAGCTCTGCACATACATCATTCATTACATCGAAGCTCCAACATCCAAGAGAAGTAATATTTACCAGAACCCAGTCATGCAACTTGTCAACAAGGACCACTAATGAGCTTACTTAAAAAAAAACATGTCATTAAATTTGCAGCAAGAGAAGCACAAATGCTTACCAATGCTCTTTCCCACTCATGTATCCTATATGTATTTTATAGGGCAGCTTAAAGACATAGTAACACCATGTTTTTTTTCTTCTAAATTTAAGAACTATTAACAGCTTTCCATATCTCTCATACTTTTTAATACCACCATCTTCTCCCTCCCTCTCTCTCAGCCATCTACTCTTCCTCTAAGCCATCGTTCACAGACGAGGCTTAATTATTTATCGGCATGATTTATTTAGCTTTGCTCAACACAGGACCAGCAATCTTCATCCTGCTGTCTCCAACTTTCTCGTCCTCCCTTCTCTGTCCCTCCCCTCCTCATCTCCTGCTTTCCATCTCTCTCCAGCATCGGTTCCTCTCTCTTTCTTCTGGCTCTTTCAACACAGTTTAATCTCCTCTCACTGAACATTTCAAAATAACCTCATTTTCTTGGACTCATTTCGTACTTCGTATTCACCCAAACTTTGCGAGTCTCCAATCGTCTTTGCGTGTTCTTTCAATTTTTCTTATCATCTCCCACGTTTTTTTCATGTTCACCTGTTCTTATTCTCTTCCTATTAATCAGGCCTGACATTCATCTTTTCCTTCTTTGGAGCCTTCACTTTCTGTGTATTCTTTTTTTTCCCTATAATATCCATCATTCCATTATTATTCCCTCTAGTCTTAGGTGAGACATCTCCAAATGGTTTTAGTAATTAAATTTTCTGAATGTGTATGTGCGAAAGTGTGTTTCTTTTCTCTGACATGGCAGGTTCTAGGACTTTGGTCCAAATCCACTGTTTCTTTATTCTGTCTTTTTATTTTGTTAAAACGCGTGATGGAGTGCAATAAAGAGAAAACATGGGGAAGGAAAAATGGGGAAAAAAGAAAAGCTTTTTAATGCTTGGGTGACTAAACCTTTAGGAAAAAGCATACACCATTTATTTCCTTGTCTTGATTCGAGCTGCATGACTTCAAATACCAGTGTCCATTCCTAACTTTCATTTGTTCATATTAGTAACATGTAAGTGCTGTTTCATACTCAGTCTGTCTTTTCCTTTGTAATTGGGTGGGTTTCCTGGAGGTCATAAGGTCACCTCCTTTGTGTTTTTTCTTCTTCTTTTTTTAAAGGAATGTGCTCATCATTTAATCTCTCGTTTTTCTCATTCTCAAACCCTCCTGCCTGCAATGGGATGTTCCATTCCCTCTCCTTCCTTTCCCCTCTCAACCCTCATCCCCATGTCGTGTCTTTTTGTACGTCATGTTTGTGGGTGTTCGCAGTGCATGGGCTGTGGGAGGAATGGTCGTCATGGAGTCTGTGCTCTGTGACCTGTGGGCGGGGCTCCAGGACACGAACCAGGAAGTGCATGGACGGCAGCGGGGCTGTAGCTTGTGGACGGCCTGAGGTTCAGACCAAACTCTGCAACATAGCAGTGTGTCCTGGTTAGTACCATCCCCATTAACATGATACACCAAGCCTCTCTCGCTCTCTTGCTGTATTAAACTTGACATTTTTTTTGCCTCTTCAAAGTTGCAAAAGTAGAACATTACCACATCACTGTCATAGCTCCTGAATTTCCATCCACTTGCCTGCATAGTTCATGTTCGTCTAACTGACCAAATGTCTCTCTTCGATTAAATCAAGCCAAAGTCTGCTTTGACATCATCAAAGCATCTAAATGGGAACAAACTGCTCAACTGTGATAGCACTGTGGATTTGTGGAGTCAATGTGTTTGTATTAGTTAACCACTTTGATTCAAAGTAAAATATCTCAGCTACTCAAAATACTGAATGGATCTTTCTGGCATTTTGTGTCCTTGACTTGTTGTTGTTGACTTGTTTTTTTTTCCTCTGGAATGCCACCAAGCCTCGAGTGACAGTTGTGGTCTTGAATAAAACATCCTTACAAATCTTAAATGGAATATCCTAAAATTTGGTGCAGACATTTATGTCACCCGCATTTACACAACTCACAGTTTTTCAGAAGGCAGAGAGTACTTTGTGATGAAGTTCTGAAAGTTAATACGCTTCTCTCAGCATCAGTTGCTAAACTACCGCCCCTGTTCCACAGGTCTAGAGATTAGTATGTAACCATTCGGCAACCATCAGTGCATATTTCATGACCAGTTGTCAAGTGGTTGCTTTAGGTTGCAAGCAGTCATTAGAAATTGATTGCAGTTGATTGCTGCACCAAATGCTTCCTTGGTGGTTGCTTTGGTTGCCAACAGGTTGATGCAATTGCTAGTAGTTTCTATCAAACATGCCAACTTTTCTGAAAACTATGGGTGACTGCTGCAATCTGCGAGCTAACAAAGCACCACAAAGAGGTTTATGATGCAGTACTCTACTTGTAACAAGCTGTCACGTGCCAACAGCTAGCAACCACCAGCAATCACTTGTCAGCTAGTTGGGGATTTTTCCTAGAACTAGACATTACTAGGAGGGCAGTGCCAGCTTGTGGAAATGAGGCCTAACATGGTAAAGAATTTAAAAGGTCTGCTGAGGAGTAGCATGCTCAAAATGTCTTTGTTTGCATGCTAGCGTGCTGACCATCATGTTTTGCTCCTCTGAGCATCACAGTGACTGTGAGTATTAGTCTTGCTTTAACCAACACTTTTTCATAGAAATTCTGTTTGTAATTGAATTTACGTGCAATGCTGTCACAAAGTTAATTGTATTCAGAGGCAGTTTTGTTTTGAATGTACAGCATGGAAATGTATGCACTGTATTAAAGTCGACTGGAGGCGGTTGGATTGATATTTTGGTGGAATAATTTGATTGTCAGTTAACATACTGAATGATTTGCACATCGCTAAAAGTAGAGATTTCAGTTCTGTCTACGTCTGTGGTTATCCATGGGAATTAAGTCCACATTTCCTTTCAAACTTTCACTTATAGAACCGTAGACTAGAAGTCTGCGTTGGACCGGTGTGCTTCTTCCACGGCTGACTAAGTTTAGATCGCCGAACAACCCGACCGTGTAACTCTTCTATAATTGTCTCTAAAACTATCTATTAAAACTACACTTTGTCAAAAACAGTTAAGACAGCATTTTGGCCCCAGCTAATAGGGCTGTTAAGGATAATCTGGCACAGACTGTCCAGTAGAAACATCTTCATCGGGTTGCCAGTGGAGTGAAGCTGGATTCTCCAGCTACTGAAGCCCTATTGCAGCACACTCTGAAAAAAACAGTGGGACAAGATAGGAGCAATAATTTCTGTAACCTGTCCCTTTGCCAGTACCTTTGTCAACTGAGACGTAAATATGTAAAAATAGGCTGTAGGTAAACTTTGGTTATGCATATTGTCTCTGTGCAGTTTTAATTTTCTATTCCAAGTGTCCCCTTTAGGGGAAAAAACACTTTGGAAACACCGACATTAAAAATGAATATTAATTTCAGCGATTAAATTTGCTCTGGCTTTTTGTTTCAGACTTTAAATGGATTCTGTGTTGGAGTAAAGGAATTAATGGATACACAGACATTAAAACATAAGACAGTTTATAACAAAAATGCTGTCAGCTTTCTGAATAATAACCTTTTTCTTCCTGAATTAATTTCAGTCCAAGTGAGAGTGTGTTTGCTTAGTGTGTAATCACTCACAGCCTGAGCAATTATCACAGTGTAAGTGCTTTTCATTTAAGACTGCTAAGGCAAAGAATTCTGTATCACTGTCCCCTGGACTTTGAATCCACATGCCTTTACATTTATGTGAGTGATACTGGAGCTAGAACCTTTTCATTCCTGCATCCTAAACAATATTTTTTGGATATTTACTTGTTTTTTTCTCTCTTTGTTTTCAAAAGCAGAGGTTTTGCAAGGTTAATATTTAAATAAAACAAACTGTCCCCCTTGCCAGACAAAGAGGCTGCAAAGTTAAAAAGAAGGAACAGGGAGACATCGTAATCTAAAGTATGGCCTCCAGGATGTTTTGCCAAGCTGTTTTGGGAACAGTGATGGAAAGAGAGGGTTTGGGAGAAAGGGTGTCTTCCTGCGAGGCCTTAAGGAAATCTTTGTGTATGTGAATGTGAGAATCTATCACAACAGATTCAGCCTGCTTTTTGGAGTTCAAAGTCAATGGTCCTTTGAAATCATGAATACCAGCATAGGCCTTTTGGCACAAACAACCATGCATACAGAATAGAGCTTTGATGGATTGTGTGTGTGTGTGTGTGTGTGTGTGTGTGTGTGTGTGTGTGTGTGTGCGTGCATGCATGCGTGCCTGTGCACATGTGGGTGCATAGTTGTGTGTTTCCCTCGATAATTTGATCTCACTGCAAACCATATACTTAATCCTCACGCTATGTGCTGTTGCATGTCCTGTTGTGTTTATGCTACAGTATATTAAACCAATTTCTTACCTCTTCACAGTGGCTTGTCACTTAGGCAGTCACATGCTAAGCTAAGCTTACATATCAAACAAGTGCATACATATGTGGGCAGAACTGCAAATGTAAATGTGGCAGCTGTTGCATCATATGAAGACAATCAACGGGGTATTATTAAAGTCAGCAGACATTTTCATGGAAGTAATTCATTTGGTCATATCAGACTTTTTTGAGCTAACATCAAGTACTAAAAAAAACCTGTGTAGGCAGAGAGCTGGCTGGAAATTGCCTTTAAGTTCTTTGACACCTCCTTTTCTTTTTCACAACGTTAACAGTTCAGTTCATAGCCAAACATATGCTGGGATTAATTGCTATGTCTTAATTACAGGCAAATTGATAGTTTCTCTCTTTGGCAAGAGCTCCCTCTTAACAGAGAGCTGCCATCCAGCTTTTTTAGTATCAGTGCCGATAAGCTGATTGTGCTTTGTGTGTTAACACAAAGCTGAGATATATACGATAGCAATCCTTACAAAGAAGTAACAGTTCGACAGAAAGACACGGACGGTCTGAAAATGTGTTGGTGTTTGTGTTGTTTTCTTTTTTTAAATGTTGTTTTAGAAATGTAACACTTCCATTAATCAGAGCAAATTCTAAAAACATCACATTTGCAATGCTTTTCTAGGTCACACTTTATTTCCTTTATGTCATCTCCGCAACACAATGCAGACCCACGCCCGTTGGAACACAGTACAAGTGTCGCCTGGCGTGATTGACCACTTTACCAAGGAGAGCTGGCAATGCCTTCTCACTTGGGATAGCCAGACAAATACATTTACAGCACTGTACTTCACTTTCTCTGCTGCTTAATGCCCCGGAGTGTAGAATGTGTGACTCGATATATCATTTCGAGCAAAGAGTTCTCACTTCGAATTGTAATTCGTGTTAATACAGAGACAGAAGAAGTCCATACACAACAGATAGATATATCTACTTGTCCGCTGCAGTAGTTAAAAATACGTTTTCTGCCTATCAAATATTATAGAAGCTTTACACAGTGAGCCATTTCTTTATATTTTGTTAGGAGAATGAGAAATATGTGGGGCAATTTATTGAAGCGTGTACAAAAATACATGGAACAAACAGAGTTTATACAATTATAATGAGCTTGAAAGTCAGTATTTTGCATGGCCACCTTTATTATTCAGTACAGTCTGAACTCTGTTAGCCAAGCGTTCTTGTAATTTCTTTAGGTAGCATCCAGGAATAGTTGATGGTGGTTCAAAATCTGACCATACTTTTCTGCTTTCCTAATTCCATCAGCTTTTTTTTTTTTACAAGACCCCCAACATTACTGACTGTAATGCAGCCACAAACCATGACAGAGTTGCCACTGTGTTTTAAACATGGTTCTAGATAATCAGTGCTCCCATTTCTCCCCTCGTCCTAAGTGTATTGACAATGAACTAAACTGAACTTCACTCTATAAGACCAATGATTTTTAGTCCAGTTCTGCTGAAATTCAGTGTATCTCATTGAAAGCTTCTTGACACTTCTTATTTCATCCTCCACTTGTTTAGTTTCCTCAATTTTTTAAGGACACGCTGCGCACCATACCAAGATATGTCTGTTAAGGTTCTCAATTATCCAGGTCATCATAGTCTCAGGAGCTTGTAATGTTCAAATAATTATAAAACGTGGAGTTTACGCTGAAGCAGAGCGTAAGGTGTTCCAAGTGTTCCATTTCTTTCCAAGCTCCTTACACCATACCGAGATGTGTATGTTTTCATATAATGACTGAATCGCCCTGCTGGTGCAAAAATGTTATCTTTGGTATTTTTTT